TTAATACTCGTGCATAAATGTTATACCACTTCATATGGATAAGCAGACAGTCCAATTAAAACATATGATTCATCAACAATCCATAACCTAATACATGCTCTTAAATATATTCATCATAGCCGACAAGACTATCTAACTCACACAAGCATGCAGAGTATGAATTTTTTTTTTTTGAATAAAAACAAAAACACATAAAACAAGCAAGTCACACATAAGCATTCGAGAAACTCAACAGCATAAACAAATGATGTCACTCCCCCAAACTTAACTGAAACATTGTCCTCAATGTGAAATTTAAAGGAAAAAGAGGAGGACTTTCCCGAAATGTCAGTATTGCCTATGATGTTGTGGTGTCTTGGTGTTGTATTTGATCGACTCTTCTTCTACATTCTCCCCCAAACTTGAGATTTGTCCCATTTTCTCCATGTCGATGTTGGTTTGAGTGTTCCGCGACGTCATGTTCCTGAAAAATTAAATTTGAAAAATTAAACTCATGGAACAAGGATTACTAAACTCAAACATCTAATAACCAACTTAATTACTCCAAGACTTATGGGTAGAAGGGGTGTGGGTGATGATTCCTAAATAAAATATAGATTAAACTATCCTAGAACTTTGAAAACAAAATAAATAAAATAAAATAAAAACTTGGGTTGCCTCCCAAGAAGCGTTTCTTTTAAATCATTAGCTTGACTTGTGCCGCTTATTTATCATGGTAGCTCAAACCAAGTTATTCTATCATTGCACTTTGTGCAATTTTTATTGATACAGTCCTTTTTTGCTCCCCAAATTTTGATTTGTCCAATCTTATCTCTACCAAGAAGTTCTCCAAAATTTAGTTTTTTGTTCTAACAGTTTCGTTGATCAGGTGGCTCTTCTTCATCAATTCTACAGCAATCATTTTTATTAGGAGGTTTCTCATATTGGATGTAAATATTTAATATCTCCTGCTTGTCCTCTAACCTCAAGATTAGTTCTCCATTCTCCATGTCAATAAGGGTTCGTCCTGTTGCTAAGAATGGTCGATCCAATATAATTGGAATGTCTCGATCTTCTGGTATGTCCAATACAACGAAATCCACATGAAATATTAAATTTCCTACTTTTACGAGTACATCCTCAACTTTGCCACGTGGCCTTGCGATTGTTCTATCAGCTAGTTGTAACGTTATTGATGTTGAGTTGACTTCACCTAGTCCCAATTTCCTGTAAGCAGAATACGACATTAGATTGATACTAGCACTAGTGTTACATAATGCATTAATTGAATAGGAATTTTTAATTGAAATTGGTAAAGTAAAACTCCCTGGATTCTTTAATTTAGGAGGCAATTTGCTCTAGACTCTTGCACTACTTTGCCCAGTTAATGCCACAGTTTCAAACTTCGAAAGCTTTCTTTTCTTTGTCAACATCTCTTTCAAAAATTTCGTATGACTTGGAATTTGTAGTATCGCATCAATGAACGAAATATTGATCTGGAGCTTCTTGAGAACATCGATGAATTTTTCATAGTTTGTGTCTTGTTTGTTCTTCTTGAGCTTTTGAGGAAAGGGAATGTGAGGCATGTAAGCTTTGTCTAGACTTGGTGCTTTGGCAGCTGATGTTTCTGTACTTTCTCCATTTTTAGTTGCGTTTGGTGAAGATTTTTCTACCCTTGTAGCTTCATCAATTACTTTTTGATAATATTTTCTTTTAGGTCTCTCTGTAGTGATCTCTGGTGATTGTACCTCGCTCTTTGTATTTATGACATGAATATTTTGCTCCATTAATTTCTTTCAAAGTCTTTGGGGAAACGGAAGTGGAGGTACATATGCTTTAACTTTTACGGGGGCCCTGGGTGGATCGTTCTCCATTACTTCAATTGCCATCAACTGTTCCTTAGGATTTATCATTGTATTGCCTGGTAATCTCCCTTATGGACGTTCTACAAGTTGTTGTGCTATCTGACCAATTTGTGTCTCCAGTTTCTTGATGGATTCCTGCTGATTTTGAAAGTTCGTGTCAATTTGCTGGAACACCTTGTCCGTTTTCTGTACATATTGTTGAAACATCTCTCCCAAACTTGGTCTTCTTTCTTGCTGGAAATTGTTACCATATGAGTTGAAATTACGGGAGCTATTTTGAATAAAGTTTACTTGTTCCTCTGAAGAAGTGAGCATCATGTAGCTCTCTGTAGCATGATTTTTCCCACAATTCTCACATGTTGAACTGGCCATCATTGCATTTGCTTCATGTGTTTGCAATTTTACAAGTAACTCTACTTGTTTTGTTAAAGCTGTTATCTGTGCATTGGTAGATGTTGTGCTATCTAATTCATACATTCCTGTTGCCTTTGGTGGTACCACTCTTTCTGATGAGAACATTGAATGTGTGGTGGCAATTAACTCAAATAGGTCCATGGTTGGTTGTACTAATTTCCCTATGATTGATCCACCAGCAGAGGCATCAACTTGAGATTTTGACAGTGGTGTAAGTCCGGTGTAGAAGTACTGCACTTGGTTTCCTTGAGTGATTTCATGGTTTGGACATTTTCTCATCAGCTCATTAAATCTATTCCATGACTCGTTATAGCTTTCTTCCTCTTTCTGTTGAAAAGTTTGAATTTCCAATCTGATTTTAGCTACTCTCGTCTGTGGGAAAAATTTATTACAGAACTTCCTGGTTAGTTCTTCCCATGTAGTAATGCTGGCATGAGACTCTGCATCTAACCTCTCCAATGTTGCATCTCTCAATGTAAATAGAAATAGTCGTAATTTAATAGCATCTTCATTGACCCTCGTAGAATTGCAGAGTGTTATTCATCGAGTTAATCCAATCTGGCCTGATCTGAAAGTTATTCACCCCAAAATCTGGATACACTATACTGGAGCGCATGGGTACTGCTATAGGTGTCAGGGACATTGATACTGGCAAATCACCTTCATTTATTTCCCCTCGCTCATGCTGCTGTTCCGGTGGTGCCACTCTTGCGGCCATTTGTCCAATTGGCTGAATAGGAATATGGATTTGTTGATTGTCAGCCATTTGACGTTGCTGTTTTTGTTTGTGTTCTTTGCGTCTTCGTCTGAAAGTACGTTCTATCTCCGAATCAAACAGTTCAAGATCATCGCCTTGGGCACGGTTAAAATAAAAAAATAAATAAATCAAATAAAAGAAAAATAAATAAATCAAATAACAGTTAAAATAAAAAAATAAATTAAGAATAAAAGAAATAGTCCCCGGCAACGGCGACAAAATCTTGTTGTAAAATTTTGTTTCGCAAGTGTACGACCCGTAACAAGTAATAGTGGACCTAAGAGTCCGGATTGTCGATCCCACAATGACTATTTTCTAGCACTTAATTCAATTTTTCTTTAACTACTATTTGACTAAGACAAATTAAAAGTTGTAAAATCTGAGTTTTAATCTAAATTCTAGAAAATAAATGGATGTTCACACGATTGGTTGGAGAATCAAATAATGAATGGACGTTAGGGCAGAAGAACTTCACCAATTGATCACTTTTACATCTCAAATTAAAACTCAATTCTAATGTAGTGCTTGGTCGAATTCTCCTATTATATTCGATTTACCCCTCTCGAGTTTTCATTGAGCCTATTCAACTAATTAAATTTCATATCTCTATACAAATTCAACTTAGTTAAATGAGTTCTATGTCCTAGGAATTCAATTATGACCGCAATAAATGGTATATTTATCTCTACTCGTTATACCAAGGTACTGAATTTTACTACATGGTCTAAATCCTAAACTCATATCTCTATTTGTAAAGAATTCACAAAAATTATCAAATTATTGATCAGATAATTTAATGCATTCAACTCATAGCAAAATCAACACATGAAAAAATTAAAAACAAAGAATTTTAATAAGAGAATGTAAAGGATCTCAATTGGTTACATTATTCCACCTAACAATGAATTTAACTACTCATAATACAAGAAGAAAAATATGAAATTGTCTTAGAATATATCGCCGGATTTGTAATAAAGATGTAGAAGAAAAAGTAGAATTCTTGCACCAAGATCTCCTTCCTCTTCCAATGAATGCTTCTAATCTTCAATTGTTTGGTGCTAATCTTCTTGAATTTCTCTTTTGAATCTCTCCTTTTGTTGTCTTGTCTCCAATATGTCAAGAACCCCTCAAAAGTATGAGAAAGATGTATTTATAGGTGTCCCTCAGTTTTGTGTAGAAGTAGGGGTTTTATGAATTTTAAAACGGCCCAAAAAATGCACCCTAGATACTTATTCGTAGCGCCTAAGCGCTGATGATAGTGCCTGGGCGCTACGTCTTCAGCGCCTAGGCGCTGATGTGCCTCTCGGGTTCAAATTTTATCTTTTTTTTTTTCAGTTTCGTAGCGCCTAGGCGCTGCAGTAGCGCCTAGGCGCTATGAATGCAGCGCCTAAGCGCCGTCTTTCTGCCCCAATTCCCTATTTTTGGCCTCTTCGTCCACTTTAATACCTCTTTTTGCATCGCCTCTCCTAATCTTCAAAACAACACTAACAAACACATCAAAAACGTTCTATACTCACAAGATATAGCATTTAATCAAGCCAAACTTGTGCAAAATTTATAAGTGAAACAAACTCATCAATTGACTACAATATTTGGGAAGTTATTGAATATGGTCCATATGCTCCCACTAAGACTTTTATAGTAGACGGTAGTTCGGATCAAACTCTCCCCAAATCTAGAGAAGAATACGATGATGAAGATAAGAGAAAACTCTCATTAAATGCTAAGGCTAAAAATCTACTTTTATTGTGCACTTGATAGAAATGAATTTAATCAAATTAGCACATGTGATTCGGCATATGATATTTGGCATGCTCTTGAAATTACTCATGTTGGCATAAGTAAAGTTAAGGAAACAAAGATAAATATGCAATTTGAAAATTTCTTTATGAAACAAAATGAGCCTATTGTTGACATGATTACTCGTTTTATCGACATTGTAAATGGTCTTAAAGATTTTGATCGTAAATTTACTAACGGTAAACTTGTGAGTAAAATGCTTAGGTCCTTATCAGAGGAATGGAGTCCATTGAAAATGTTAATCGAAAATACTAAGGATGTAAATACATATCCTTTGGAAGAGCTCTACGGCACATTAATGACCTATGAGCTAAATAATGCCGAGGTTAAGGAGAAAACAAGAAAATGCAAGGAGGAATCAAAGGAGCCTCCTAAACGACAAATTGCATTAAAATCGACAATTGAAGAAGGAATATCAAATGAAAATATGAGCGATGAAGAGTTTGATGATTTGGTCCTTCTTGTCAAAAAATGGAGAGGTTTTCGTAATAATCGAATATTTCAAAAGAAAGAAGAAAAGGGGGAATAAATGAGCAAAAAGATCATTTGTTATGATTGTGATAGTCGGGTCACAAGAGAACCAAATGTCCTAACAAAAAGAAAAATTTCAAGAAAAAGGTACTCCAAACCTCATGGGATGATAGTGACGACGAAGAACAAAATGGAAATGATAATGAAGTGGCAAATAGGTGTTTCATAGCAATCGAAGATGAGGTATGCTCTTATGATGAACTTTCAAATTCATATGATGAAATGCTAGAAAATTTTGAAAAACTTGCTTTGAATCATGCTATCCTTAAAAAGAAAATTTTCATTTTAAAAGAAGAGATTAAGAATATTTCGGAAAAGCAAAAAGAAGATATTGATCAAAATCTCTTGATAAAAGAAAATATTTCTTTGAAAAAGAAAATTAATGACTTAACAAACATTGTTCATAAATTTACCGAATGTAAGAAAAATTTTGATTTGATGCTTCGTAGTCAAAAGTGCATTTTTGATAAAGTGGGTATTGGATATAAACCCTCTCTAAAACAAAAATCACTCAAAAATATGTTTGTTAAGGCTTTAAATACTTATTGTAATTTTTGTAATAAAAGTGGTCATGTAGCATTCAATTGTTTAACTAAAAAGAAATTTTTCTTTGAAAACAAATACAAGTGGATAAAAGAATCCGCAAAAACTAACTACCAAGGACCCAAGTTTAAATGGGTACCAAAAATCAAAACCTAAATTGTCTTTGTAGGTACTAAAGAGAACAAAAAGCAAATGGTTCTTGGATAGTGGATGTTCAAAGCATATGACTTAAGACCGATCATTGTTATCAAACTTCCAAGAGAAGGATGGAGGCCATGTGACTTTTGAAGATAACACCAAGGGTAAAATAATAGGCTTTGGAAACATTGGTAACCACTCATCCCCCTTTATCGAAAATGTTTTACTCGTTGATAATCTTAAACATAATTTACTAAGCATTAATCAATTATGTGACAAAGGTTATAACATAAAATTCGATTCTTCCAAATGCCTTGTTAAGGATGCTACATCAAAAGAGGTGTTTTTATAGGAAGCCGAAGTAAAGATGTTTATATTATAAACATTGAATTGGAAAATAATGAAAAATGTTTACTTAGTTTGAAAGAATAATCATGGTTATGACATAGAAGACTTGAACATATAAACATAGATCTTCTTTCAAAAAAATTCAAAAATTGTTTTGTAAAAGGTTTACCGAATTTGAAATTTGAAAAAGATAAAATTTGTGATGCTTGTCAATTTTGAAAACAAGTAAAAAGTTCTTTCAAACCAAAACTTTATACTTCAACTATAAAACCATTACAACTTCTCCATATGGATCTTTTTGGACCTTCTAGGACGGATAGCTTATGAGGTAAACATTATACTTTTGTTATTGTCGATGATTTTTCAAGATTTACTTGGGTTATATTTTTAAGCTTAAAAGAAGAAGTTTTGAAAACTTTTAAAAAATTTTGTAAGAAAGTCGAAAATGAAAAAAGGCTATTCTATTTCAACTACTAGAAGTGACCACAATGGAGAATTTGATAATATTGGGTTTGATATTTTTGTAAAGAACATGGATATGAACATAATTTTTCGACTCCTAGAACACCTCAACAAAATGGTGTAGTAGAAAGGAAGAATCGTACATTGCAAGAAATTGCTCGAACTATGTAAAATGAAAATAACTTGCCTAAATATTTTTGGGCCGAAACCGTTAATACCGCTTGCTACATTATCAATAGAGTATTAGTAAGCAAAAGGAAAACTAAAACTCCTTACGAACTTTGGAAAAATAGAATTCCAAATATTAGTTATTTCAAAGTTTTTGGATGTAAATGTTTTATTTTAAATACAAAAGATAATTTGGGGAAATTCGACTCCAAATCCGATATTGAAATTTTCTTAGGATATTCATCGACTAGCAAAGCATATAGAGTTTTTAACAAACGAACCCTAGTCGTTGAAGAATCCATGCATGTTACCTTTGATGAAACTAACTCATTTGATTGAGAGAAAGGTAGTGATGATGATGTAGGTTTGGAAGCTTTTTTCGAACAAATGAAAATTCAAGACCAAAATAAGGAGGCACCAAATGGAGACATAGAAAAGTCAAATGTTCAAGAAAATGAAGAAAGACAAATCGGAGAACAAAGTGATCCCTAGTTACCAAAAAAATGGAGGTTTATTCCATCTCATCCTAAAGAGCTAATAATTGACGATCCATCAAAAGGTATCAGTACAAGAACCTCTTACGAAAATCATTTTAGTAGTTGTGCATTTATTTCTCAAATCGAACTTAAGAATTATAAAGAAGCCGAGTTTGATGAGTTTTGGATTCTAGCGATGCAAGAAGAATTAAATCAATTTGAAAGAAACCATGTTTGGGACTTAGTCGCTAGACCGAACAATCAAACCGTTATTGGAATAAAATGAATTTTTAGAAATAAAAGAGATGAAAATGGAATAATTGTATGTAACAGGGCTAGATTAGTGGCCCAAGGTTACAATCAAGAAGAAAGTATCGATTTTGAATAAATATTTGCACCCGTAGCAAGATTAGAATCCATCCATATACTTCTTGCATTTGCATGTTACAAAGATTTTACACTTTATCAAATGGATGTTAAAAGTGTTTTTTAAAT